CAAACGAAAAAAGATAAATAAACAGCACACTATAAGGTTAATGACTCGATAAACAGACAGACGTACACCTGAGATCTGAGAACAAGAGATAATCTCATCACACTAAGATTGAGCACACCTAAAGTTCTAGTTCTCCTCCTATCAAAATAAATTTCTGAGCGCTAGAGGGACAAAACAATAACCCCCACTCAGAAGAGACATCAACATCACGACACAGACAATATTCTAACTTGATCAAATAATCCATCTCTCAGAAAAACACTCAACCGGGTAGGAGACATAATCAACACCGGACGGTGGGGAATCCACCTCCGTGATTACAAAAAAAAAAACAAACAAAAAGTAGTGAGAACAACATCGCCACACCTTTATTACATTCTAAAATACAAAGCAAAGTAAAAAGAAAACCCAAAGCATCGTTGGCGCAAGCCTCCAACAACGACGCAGTCGGTGAGGGGACTACAAGGAAAAGAAGAAGGCTTCGAGAGTCAAGCGGCAAAACCGCCGGAAAGAGACCATCCAATGGCAACCAATGATTCATCTTGCCACTGTCGTTAACTTTTGGAGACGGTACCACCCCTACTAAAAGAAGCCCCTTACCGCTAGGATCAAACCTTTAAAAGGACCCAACCACCCAACGATGTCAGAAATTAATTATGTACACACAATTCGCTACCGACTACCGTAGCTATTATGTACACACAATTCGTCGTTGGTTTTAAATGACATACCTCAGCGTAGTATAAACTATAATCCATCTTTTATACGTATATACATACATATATATATATATATATATAATGTGTATATTGTAGCTGAATAAAAGTCCGAGAAGGGGACACTGACAAGTATATTTGCTCAAGACCCCAGACACTCTAAAAATGGAGTATCAACATTGACACAGACAAACTTTTACATTTAAAACTTTTAAAGAGAACTACCTAATGTTCGAAACTGTCACTACAAATCCATCACGATAGTGATCCATTATTTATAGAGCCTGTTTTATAGTATATATGCGGAGAATAATATTAAAAAAAAAAAAATACTACGCTGACAATTTTTTAACACACACGAGAGATTAAAAAGTTGCTGCTTTAAGTAAAAAGCTGAAGAGCACATCAGGGTTGGAGAAAAAGGGGCTATGATCACTCTCCAAGAAGAACACTTGGGATGGTGGCCATCGATTTATCATAGCATCTTGTTGCTCCTGCTTTATCACGCGGTTGTACAATGTCTTGATGTAGACCCTCGGTACGCTATCGGCGCCCGGTCCTTCCATGAATTTAGCCCCTTGAAAGGCTCTAATTGGTAGCATTGAGGCCAATGTGGAGTCCTAGACCAAGTAATAAGATTTTGTTACGACCATACTTATGCAAAGGTTTTTTCTTAAGTAGTTCAATTCGATCACAATGACATTATTTTAAGGAATACAATGCATAATCATTTAGTACTACTATTTAGCAAAAAGAGAAAAAAAAAAGTACAGTACTATTGAATTTGAGTATTATTATGTGAACAAAGAAAAATAAAAGTTAATTTTTTTTTTTAAGATCAAACAATATTGCTCCTAAACCCAAAAGTAGGTAATCTTTTTATTTTTGGAGGTTTAATCACTTCTGAATAGTACATTGTTGAGTTTCAAATAAATAATTTCTGACAATGGATTTAAAAAAAAAAGTGATCATAGCAGGTTAATTAAGCCTCAATTTGGATAAGAAAAATTGATCAGATGCTTGGAGAAAAAGGCTCTTAATGGTTTAAAAAATATTTATTTGCATAAAACATGTATATATATATATATACTGCTTAAGTAATAGTTCTAATTATAAGTACCTCAATTGGACTCATATCATAGTAAATTTTGCGCTGAAATTCAGGCTTCATTATAACGCTGGTTGGAGGCTGGTTAGGTCCCAACATGTATATGAGTTCGCTTACATCTCCATATTCGGACAAATCAGGGTCTGCCTGCTCCAGATCAAACAATATACATACAGTCGAAAAAAAACAAAAGATCCAAAATTGTCAATAACCATTTACTTCTGTATAATGTACATATAAAGTTATATGCAGACAGTAGTTGGAGCCAAAATTTCACACACCATGTATTATATATTAATCATGCACTATCAAATTATTATGGCCCTGTTTGATTTAAACGTTTGAATACAATGTATATATTAATCATGCGTTGTTAAATGATTAAAGGCCCATTTGGTTCATAAGTTGAACAAAAATGTTTAGACAGAAATTTATAGCTCGTTTGTTTTATTTGTTTAAATCTATAGTTTTGATTTTGTTACAGTGTTTTCTCTTATAAAAAAATTGAATTTTAAATGCTAAAATTAAGAATCATTAATTTAAACGCATGAACTAAACGGACCCTTAAATTTTGTGAAACAAAACAATCTAGTAAAAAGAATTTGAATAGTAGTTTGAACCTACAAACAAATGGTAAAGTTCTCCTTGAATATCATGAATTCATAAGCTTGAATCGCCACCTTTGAAAAATAAACTCGAATCTCAATATCACCTAAGAGAAGAAAAAAAAAGTTCAAACCCAAACAGCATTGCAATCCTACTTGGTTGGGTTAAGTATCGATCGATATCAAACGGGCATGTTCTTTTAGAGTGTAATTTGAGTATAGTTCTTGAGTTAAAGTTGTAACTTAAGTTTGTGTTTGATTGTGTACATTTGAGTTATGATTTGAGATAAGAATCTTTTCGAGTTTGTGTTTGAGTGAGTCAAAACTTGAATTTGTATTTAGATAGTATTTTAATAAAAACTCAATGCTGATGAAAAATTTTAATAGGGTATATGGGTGGGGTTTTATTCGTCTTTTCGTTGTCAACACATAGAAAAAAAATTATCTCAATCAGAATTAAAACGAAAAAATTATATAAGAATAGAAAAAATACTGTTCATTAATTTAAGTTCGAGTTCCGAACTCAAGTTGAAGAGAAAACTTGAACTTCAGTTCAAACTCGAGTTCAAACTTAAAAGAACATGAACTTGAATAAAGTTGTAACTCGAGTTGTTTTTTTTAAGTTTTTGACTCAAAAACTCAACTGCCGAACAGCCCCATAATTTGTAGTATACTTTTACCTCTATCTATTTCTTTTAACTTCCCTACAAAAAAATAATAAATAAAATTCTCTATATAAAAGACTATTTCGTTTAGCCAATCAATTGCTAGCTACATGGAATGCCAATTGGGTTTCCAGAATAAATCAAGGTGCAAAGAGCTGAATCCTAATCATCTATGTTCTTATGCCATTTTCGAGAAAATGAAATATTTGAAAGTTCTAAAGAAAAAGTAGATATATATTACTGATCACTTAACAAAGACGGTAGAGATAATAAGAACAAGTTTAACAATGGCAACATTTTGATTAGAAAGAAAAAAAAAACACAATGACAACATTTTCTTCAACTTCAACTCAAATTCAACTCAAGAACTATACTCAAATTACACTCTAAAAGAACAGGCCCGTTTGATATCGATCGATACTTAACCCAACCAAGTAGGATTGCAATGCTGTTTGGGTTTGAACTTTTTTTTTCTTCTCTTAGGTGATATTGAGATTCGAGTTTATTTTTCAAAGGTGGCGATTCAAGCTTATGAATTCATGATATTCAAGGAGAACTTTACCATTTGTTTGTAGGTTCAAACTACTATTCAAATTCTTTTTACTAGATTGTTTTGTTTCACAAAATTTAAGGATCCGTTTAGTTCATGCGTTTAAATTAATGATTCTTAATTTTAGCATTTAAAATTTAATTTTTTTGTAAGAGAAAATACTGTAACAGAATCAAAATTATAAATTTAAACAAATAAAACAAATGAGCTATAAATTTCTATTCAAACATTTTTGTTCAACTTATGAACCAAATGGGCCTTTAATCATTTAACAACGCATGATTAATATATGCATTGTATTCAAACGTTTAAATCCAACAGGGCCTTAATAATTTGATAGTGCATGATTAATATATAATACATGGTGTGTGAAAT